TTCAGCCCTGGGAACCTTTCAAGGTGGCTCTACTGATCACACATGGGGTCACTGTGCATCTATCTAGCAAGAACCACCTGGTATTAAGCATATTGATAATTTCATTTTGAAAATGGAAAAATGTATTAAGATTTCAATGTCATAGGGACTAAGTACTGAAATGTATTATCTCTTTGAATCCCCACAAGAAGTTTATAGGATGAATTGTCTCCTAGGTCATAATGTGTTGTGGCAAAACCTAAGCATACCAAGGATGAACCACTTGTTCAAAGTTGTATAGCTGGTGGGCTGGTGGGACTAACGTGGCCTTTTTACAGGAAATAAAGATCACTTTTCCTTTCAATGAATTAAAAAACTTAAACGTATTGCCATTTCCTGTGAAACCATTAGCCCATAAAGACAAGGGCACCATACAACCCAGCAATCCTATTCCCAGGCTGGGGCCAGCATTTCATTCCATCCTATACCTCTCTGACCCTAGAGCTTAATCACTCAGTTTATAGTAGGAGGGGGGGGGGTGTCAAAAAGGTTGTGGGAAAGTCTAGTTTAAAATCCATTTGCCCATAAATTTTTGAAGCCCTCTCCCAACACATTGTTCATCAGATTTTCTAAGACTACTGTTCAATTGTCATGAAGTTTTGCTGTAGAATTCATCCCAGAGGATGAGCCAATTAAGAAGAATCCAAGTTTACCTTCACATGTACATTAAGTGGAAGTATCATACTCTCCAGTTAATCAAAGTCTCCATTAGCTTATATCACTTGCTACCCTAGTCAAAATAGTCGAAATTCAGTTCGGTTCATTAAATTTATAAAATTCTGTGTCTAAAACTAAATGCTTAGATGAAACCCCACTACCATCTTTCCTTTATAGACCTAAAAACATGGTATTTGACTCAGCTCAACATTTCAGTTTCCTCTTCCTGGCTGTAAAATACATCGTTGGCTTCGCATAAAAAGCTGTCTGATCCTTAACAATAGGAGATTGCATGTTATCATATGTAAAGCCTACTAAGGTATATTAATAATGACTAGTTATTTAAATGTCATGTAAATTACTATAATGTTTCTTCATGCCATGAAATTACTGTTAAAGTAGGTTTTGAAATTTTAATTCTTTTCCCAACTATTTTGAGACAGAAAACATCTCTAGCACGTTTGCTCTGTTTTGGTTTCGTTCATTCTTTCTTTTTGTTGAGTAATTTAAGGTTCGTTTTTATTGAAACTTGTAAATTACAGTCCGCTTTTATGAGTGTAACGAAGAACTCTCACTTATAAGAACCAGAAATGGTCTGTTTGTAATGTAAAATGTTGGGCATTGGAATTTGTCCAATGAAGGCAGGAGAGACAGCATATCAAAAAGGACATTTCTCATGCTGTCCATTCATTATTGAGTACTTACTACTATTAAGAGCCACACTTGCCTTGAGAATACAGACACAAAACTGGCCCAGACTACAGTAGACTCGCTGCATGCTATTGGCACTGTGGCCAGCGGGTCAAACCCACCAGCGCTCCAAGGGAGAAAGTTGAAGCTTTCTGCTCCCCTG